GGGGGGGGGGGAGGTAGAGAGTAGAGATGTGTCCTTCTAGAGATGGCAGTAACCAAAGCACGCCATTACAGCCTAAAACAGAACACACTCACTAGTATTCCACATTTCACCAAAGTTTATCACATCATGCCTTGTCAGTGTGAAGAAACCGTCATTCACAATAGCTCATTGTGAAACATAGGAATAAAATATGTGTTTGTCAAAAGGGAAACTGACACACTTCACAGAGCCAAACAAGTAATGGCCCTCCTCACTGCTTTCCCTCACAATGAGTGAGAAAGCTTGTCATCCATCCCAGATTTATAAAGGAGATTTTATCTGGGACACTGTGAAGACTGGGTGTGAGAGTCACAGCTAAGGATCCATAATCATAGTTACCACAGTAATTGGCCTGTTACCCTCAGGTCATAATCTCTCTCTCCAGTTTCACACTAGTCTTTAGAAGAAAATCCCCAAAGCACTGCAGGGAGGCACAGATAAAGCCCTGGCTCTCTTCTGAGCTTATTTACATCTTTTTTAAAAATGGCTTCTTGTTTATGTACATGGGATTTTGTTTCTTGTCCATGATCCCCAAATCCAGCAAATGGCCAAGCATTACCTTGCAGTATTGTCCCTGCAATGCTAGCACAAAAAAAGGATGGCAAGCTTCACACATTAAAGGCCAGTCTGAGTGTTGATGACACCCACGCCAGTTGTCTATAGGATTCCCTCTTGTGTTCCCTAACACTCTCAAAGAGACAACAGAGGAAAACCCCAGTAAAGGAAAAAGAACTCAGACTCCACCTTCTTTTTTATCAGTTAACTGCCAACACAAACACAACATCCAAACGCTAGAAAATGATCATAGCTGGATTCTTTGACATGTTTTCTAGGTACTGATTACTTGGAATGCAATATACCCAAATTTCCAATGGAAGACACCGCCTGTACGGCTTCAGTACCACCTGTATGGCTTCAGTACCATTATATACACAGTTCACAGAAGGACAATGAAATTAAGACAAAAGTACCTTGCAGTAATTACCACTGAATTCAATAAAGGCTTCCTGTAAGTAGGCTTATACAGGATTGTAGTGTAAGTATTTTTGGCACTTTCATGTAGTCTACCTGACAAGAGAATGTTCCAGGATTCAAAAGGAAGCAGAATGCTTCTGGATACTGTGTTTGCAAGCAATCCTGTTTGTCAATACACTCAAAAGGAAATCTGACCAAGCTGAAGGACATCTATTCCTGTAGTAAGATTGCAGTTCTAATATATCTTGTTGTCCAGAAATAAGTCCCATTCACCTCCGTGACACTACCCATTGAGTTCATAAGCACAGAACTGCAGGGTAAGCATATCTCTTGGGAAGAAGCCTTTCTGAACCGAACGGGACTCATTTTGAAGTAAACAGGCACTGCCTTGCTCTTTCTTAATACCTGAGAAGGGAAGAAAAACTGGATGAGAGGGGAGGAGTTGCTTTGGCTTGCTACGGCCTCAAAACATTCCATAGATGCTATCTCTTTGTCTTTGTGGCTCCTTTCCCTCTCTCCCTCTGGCTTCTCTCTTTCCTGTATGGTTCCTCTCTTTCTTGCTGTGGCAAGTCCTTCTCACTCTCTCTGTGTGTATTCTCTCTCTCATTGTGGCTCCTCTCTCCCGTTCTTTTCCTCTGTGGCCCTTCCACTCTCAGACTCTCTCACCCCTATTGCCTTCCTTTGTGTGGCTTCTCCTCTGTGGCCCTTCCACTCTCAGACTCT